CATCATTTGTTAGTTAATGGGTGATCCAAATTGATCTATGTCTTATATAAATTTAAGTGCTCTAATGTTATATTTCACACAAATTCAAAATATCTCAAATGTTAGAAATAAACATCTATTGGTATGTCGCAAATGTCTCCTTCTCCGACTCTACACCTGGGCGAATGTTCAAGCTCACTAACTTCACCACCCTGAAAGATATCAAAGACAAAATCCACCATCTTCTACCTTACAAAGACAATTGAAAGATTATAAAGCTCGAGTATCATTCACCTTCGATTGATAATTAAGAGAACATCGAGTTCATCAAGTTTGAGCTCAAGACGCAGGCAAATGTTAGGCCTATGTTGGATACGTATTTCCCTTTCAAAGAGAAAGTTCCACTCGAGTTGGAAGCAATGCTACAAAGATCAGTCAAAGATATTTTGAAGATGTGCAAGCGTCCACCAAGATATTGAAATGTAATATTAAATTTTATGTTGAAATTATCATTGTAATGCTCATTTTATCTTATGATTGTGAATTTTATTTTGGAAAATTACTTTTTGTTGATTCAGTCACTAGCGTCTTTTCAGAAATATAACTACGAAATTATTTCAGAGATGCATCTCTGGAATAAATTAAACTAAAAAAGAGTGTAACTCAGAATAACTTTTGTTGAGTGTGTGTTGGGGTACGTCCGAAGATGCATCTCCGAAAACAGGGAGAATTTGTGGAAATTCGCATGGTGCATTAAGAACATCTAGGGTACTATAAAAAATTCTCTTCTTCAAATCCATATATAAAAAAATGGCGCACTGCATAACCAATACATTTCTACAAGGAAAACCATTCCTTCCACATCCCACAAAAAACATATCAATCAATTCCCTTCTTTCAATTCTTCATATTATTGTTTCCATCTTTAACTAACTAATTAGCTCGTTTTTGTTTGTGATTGTGTTTATAGTTTTAGCAGCAACAAGGAAAAAATGGGTAATTTCGGAGTATGGTGTAAGAAAAAAGACACACACCCACAATTCTATGAAGATGCTAAGGTTTATTGGAACAACGAGCTTATTTTGATAACAGGTGTTACTCAGAAAGAATATGTTGCTATGTTTGGACAGGTAACCACCAATTTTACCAGGGTAATCGTTTATCCAACATGGTGAGTGATGATTAGGTGGAGAGATTCCGTAAGAAGTTCGGTGAATTATCGAAGGTTATAAAGATTCTTGTACTTAGAGGTGAGATTGTTATTCCTTCAAGATGTAAAGGGATTAAAAGTGGTGGGTGGAAGAAGAAGTAGGTTTAATTGTCAAATGAAAGTGAGTATTTATTGTTTTTTAATTGTAGTTGCAATTGCTTTTATGATGTTTTGTTAAATTGCCTCTATGAATATTTCCCTTTTTGTATTTTGAATATTTTGAAATAATTATTCATGTCATGTTGTTTGTTAGTAGTGAGTGTTGATATAAATTCTGTAAATCTTTGAATTGCCGGTGAGTGTGATAGAATGATAATGCCCTTATGATCTTGGAAAAAAGTTATAGTTTGAAGTTTCAACAAAATGTTGATATTACTGTGATTTTGTCAAACTCGCTTGAAAAAACATGGAGTTGGATTCCTTATTGTCATGAATTTACATAATCAAGAATCTCGATTATTGGATTGGATGAAGTTATATTTTGAAGAAGATTTGGTTAAGTTATGATTGTTTTTCATCTAATGATTTAGTTCTCTTAACTGCGCAAATCTATGATTCTTCCAAGTGGAAGAAATCCTAATTTTATAGGTAAATATTATAAATCTAGTAGTCATGTTAGTTTACAATGAGCAGATTATACATGTCAAAGGTGACAATAATTGTGGTTTTCGAGTTGTTTTAGGTTTGCTCGATAAGGGAGAGGACGACTACCAATGTACCCATCGTCATATTATACAAGAGATTAAGGCGCATAGGGAATCATACACAAAAGTATATGGAAACAAAACTAATTACGATGCAATTCTCAATGCTCTAGTTCCTTTTCGTACAAGTCCGACTCCGTTTGAAAAATGGATGCGGTTCCCGAAAATAGGACACCTTATAGCAAGTTCTTATGATATAGTGTGTATTGCTTTAACACAATATGATTTCTTGGAAACATTCTTTCCACTTAAGAGTAAGTCACCTCAAAATTCATCCGAACACATCATTTGTATTGGTTGGCTATAAAAAAAAACTACATTTATTCAGGTTTATCATTTTTGGACAATTTTCCTGTTTCGAAATTCTGTTATGCATAATACCTTTGTTATGTTCTGCATGATTCTTAGGTGGTTCCGAAGATGCATATTCTGACACACCTTCTAATTATTAAAAAACAACACAGGGCATTATATAGAGATGTATTTCCAGACACACCTTCTACTTATTAAGAAAAATAACACATGAGATCACCCAGAGATGCATCTCCGGATAAACCCTTATTTTTTAAATAATATGGCGTATCTAGAGATGCATCTCTGAATTGTCTTGATTACATGATAGAGTTTGTAAGGTCCTTATTGATCTATAATTTCTTTAGGTTTAATATCTTTTTTGATCCCGTATTTTAACCTCAGGGGTTCATTTTGGTCTCTTAACTTTAAAAAGATTCATATTGGTCCCTTAACTCATCAAAATGTATCATATTGGTCCTTTTCGTCTAATTAGCGACGCATTTTTGAGTTTTTCCGTTGCTAACTTGACGAAAAGGACTAATATGATACGTTTTGAATAGTTAAAGAACCAATATGAACCTTTTTTAAGTTAAGGGACTAAAAAGAACCTTGATGTTAACATACAAGACTAAAAAGGATATTAAGCCATTTCTATAAATATGGTCTCTCATTCCATTTTCTTTACAAAAATTACAATGGATCTTTATCTCCATATTGCATTTGTGTATTTCAATAGCACAAATCCCCCACTTCAATTTAGGGTCTCTGAGAACATATTTCTCTTTAATCTGAAACCCAAATTGAATACTCTCATGCGATATCTAGAAAATCAGAGAGTTGTCGAGCTCAAGTACAGTTCACCCTTGATTGACAACGAATGAAAGATATGTTTCAACATGTTTGAGCTGAAGATGGATGATGATTTGAAGGTTATGTGGAATAGATTTTACCATTACTCGGCAAAGGATCTTATTGAAGTGGATGCGACGATTCAAACATCAGTCAAAGATATTATAAGGATGTTGCAACGTATTGAACCACCTGTTTTTAATGACATGTAATGTTAAACTTGTGTAATGTTTATTTATGTAATGTTTATTTTGATGTTTATTTATGTTGGATTTCCATTCTGTCATTGTTTATGCCTGTTCCTATTTTGAACTAATAGAGCATACTCTGGAGATGCATCTCCGAAAAACTCACAAACTAATAAACTAAGGGGGGTTACAGAGATGTATCTCCAAAATAACCTTGTGTGCATAAGGAGATGCATATCTTGATCAAATTTTAACATAATAAGAGTTTCTCACCATTTTCGTCTCATCTGTGTGTGAAAAAGTGTGTCCGAAGATGCATCTCCAGACGTTGGAGACATTTGAGTCTTTTCATGGTAGTAAGAGAAATTCTCTTAAAATTTAGTTTCTTTTTGGATTGCTATCAATATTAATGGGAGTGTCTTAGAAATTTTCTACATTTTCTTTATTATTTTAAAAACGGCCTTTGTTAAAACAAGATTTGTTCATGACATATATCCTTTGGATTTTGATGATAACAAAGTATTGAAAGAATAATGGTGTTATCTAATGTGTGTTATAAGTGTGAATGTTCTAAAGCTTAAAAAAGAATATATCCAGAATCTGATATAAAGACGCACTTGAGAGAAGATACGTTATTGACTTCTGATGACTTAGAAACTGAAGAATGTTCTTTAAGTGAGGTATGATAATATAGGTTTGCATAGACTCTGAAGCTGAAGGCATCAACATCAGAAGAGCAATATATTGTCTCTAAACCTATTGAATGCATCAGTTTCTAGTGATCATTCAGAACCAATGATAAATCTAAGTTATTCGTACTGCAGAAAGCAATCTACAATGTCAACTCAGCTTGTCACAAGAAAGACACAATAGCTAAACAAGTTACACAATGGATCAAGATCTTTTGGTGTATCTATCTTCAACGTCTCTTGTACTATGGAGTAAAAAATACACTTGTACAAGTTATCTCTTCCAATGATTATTCCTCTGAAACTGCTATATAAGTAGCTGAAGATTCAAGATAAATTTTTCAACAAGGAACAAGAAAAATAAAAAAGAAGAGTCAAGAAGTTCATAATGGAAGAATAACAAGATAAACAATAGCAACACAATCGAGTATGCAGAAATTTTGTTATATGTTGTAAATTGTGCAAAGCCTTAAGATTTCTTAAACATTGAATATCTTAGAAATCTTAAGTGTTGTGATCTTTGTTATGGTTATTACCTTGTACCTCTGATTATATTCAAGTACACCTTTCTCTCTATTCTCCTAAACAAGTTATTTAGTAGTTTAGATAAAATCTTTTGTTATGTACTTTTACAAACTTCTTGACTCAATAGACTATTTAAGTATGAGTGAATACAAAATTTATGTTAAATATCTAGAAAAATTCAGTTTGTTAACAACAAAAAATTAACTACTAAATACTTGTTGAAGGTACCCGAATTCTCTACCACTCTAATCAAATATATGGTTATGAAGTTGTTGTCTAGTTATGTGGAAACAAATTTCATCAACCCCACTCATTTATTCATTCTAAAACAATCTAGAATAAAGTTAAATTGTGGAAAAGGGAAACAAATAAATACAATACAAATGACCATTTTTATTTTCCTCACTTACCTATCCTTCACATGTAAACTCATGCATAAACTCTTGAAGTTGTATTTGAATATAAGTGGACAATACACATAAGCAAACATAACCAAAAAGAGAGGGCTGGATATCATGAAAACAAACATATATTATTGTTGTTTGTTTGGTGCTTATGTGTTTCAAGGTTTCTTGACTAGAGAAATGATCCAATTTATAAATGTGGCCCTAGTCTTGGACAAATGATCCTCCACAAGAATAGCATACCTGCCAAACAACTCATCCATTATATGATTCCCAAAATGAAATTCTATTATGGACTCAACTGCAGCCCTCAAGGCTCTAGAAAAACGTTCCCCTCTTGTCGATGTTAGCGATAAATCATGATCACTTTGCAAATTCGTACCATCATCCCAATCAACTTCATAAGCTTCATAAGAGTCCACCATAAATGACCCTTCCTTTTCAATCTCAATTTTCAATTCTTCATAACAACATGCATAGTAAGGAGCGTTGAAAGAATCAACTTTTCCTTCTTCAACTAGACCCTACGTACCAAAAATAAATCAATATGTTCTTTAAAAGTATAAATTCAAATAAGAATCTTTTATATGTTTTTAGTAACGAATAGAAAGAAAAATAGAGTCGTCATAAGTAGAAAATACATTATACATGTACCTCTGAAACCATGGTCATAAGGGCCTGTGCTAAGAGTTCCCATTGACAGTAACAATTGGATGATGTATAGTCTATGGATTGCCTACCGAAGAAAGAAAGGACTATGCGTCCACCATATACCATTTCTTGAGAACGTGATTCAAGGAAACATGAAAAGTCATTTTGAAATTGTTGTGAATAAGCTTCTAACACACAGTTGGGACTGTTCTTTGATATGCATAGGTTTCCCTTATTCAACCATCTCCCACTTTTGTCCATCAAACCACTAGGAGCCTGTAGATAAGATAATTATTAGTTTGTCACGCCTAAAATAGATGTTAATTTCACACAAAAAAAATATGATTTTCATATAGATTTTTTCTAGGAACTTTTTTGAAAAGGCTACTAATATTAAGAAAGATATTGATGTAGATAAACACATTTTTAAATAGGCATAATAAAGGGGCGGGACGGAAGCAGATTTAATTATATCCACACCAGCATCCGCGTACATGAAGTACACCCGTCTCCACCTTCAAATTCAATCAGTCGTAAAAATTTACCGCCCAAATCCGTCATCAGTAGAGAATGGATTTTTTTGCACTCACTCCCACCCCATTCGTAAAAATTAATTTCTTTTTAATTATAATAAAAATTAATAATTTAATTAACACATCTTCATTCTATAACTCAAGTTAATTCTTAAAACTGTTCATCGTGCTAAACACTATTGAATTTGGTGAGTGGATATAAATGATATGTGAAATTCGATAGTAGAAGATCCAATAGATTTTGGATGGACTTTGGTACTATTTTAAAATTTTATATGCTGTGACAAACGATGCACCAGAAATGAAGTAATCCTGTGAAAAAGAGATGTTTTATTCAACAAACACAAAAAATCTTTCTAGTTTTACAAAAGAAAAAAAAGAGAGAAGAAAAACAGGAATGGATTAAAACGGTATTTTTATTTATTTTTCTAGTAAAGACAAAATATTACAAGTGAATAATAACCACCAACGCTTAATCTTTTCTCAACAACTTGAGAAAGTAGTCTCGTAAAGTTTAAAAAACATACCCGAGAAAGCCAATGAATGCTGGTAGAAGAGTGAACGAAGTGAATTGACTTAGTTGGGAAAAGTCTACCATAGAAAGTTCCCGGTACAGCGGAAACAAAACAGTTAGAACCAAAGTATCTATTATTTTCTTTTTTCTGCTTTATTCTTTTGTGAAAAGATGGCAAAGAAGCAAAGACATTGTTGAAGTCATTGGTGAAAAGGTCATTCATATACAACATTAGTTCTTTTGGTGCTGGTTGATGCAACATATTTGAAGCTGCATTTATAGCTTCAACTATTTCCGACATCACCCTTAAAGCATTAGGTCCTGATGAACAGCCTAAATCAACAATTCCCATTTTCATTATTGGCCTTCTTTTTGAGCTTAGAATTTCCATAATAGCTTTCTCTGATGCTTCTTTTGTCAATGATATTATCTTCCTCTACAAATTTTATTTACACTAATTAAGCAAGTCTTCTTAATAATTATAAACATTATTTTTACATATAAGTGTGACCAATCAATATTACCTGGATGAAGGAGTTCATGGCATAGCTAGTTTCACCCGCTCCTTGGTTCATGTGAAGTGTTTCAACAGTTTCCATTTCTTTCTTATTGAGAAGGTGATGAATTTTCCTTCAATTATTGAAACTATATCTTAAATAAATGAGTATGCAGGTACATGAGTAGGTATGAGGAAGATATGAGTGTAAAAATAGACCAATAATTAGAACCACATATAGAATGATGAGATTGGTCCCTAGCTCATTCATGCATGAAATTGGTCCCTAGATAGCTACGTATAACAAGAGTATTAGTTAAATAGTAGTATTAAAATATATTTTGTAATTTGAGAAAACAATTTGCCACAAACTTTACTATCATGTACTTTTTCTTTTTATTTATCATCTTGACACTTAAATTTTCTAACGGGCTAATTGGGCCAAATGAAATGAAATAGAAAAAGCCCATTTTGAATTGTGCACAACAACAACATATATCCACACAATCTCCATTTCTCATCCTTTTCATCAAATCCATATCTTAAAAAATGGCGCAGTGCGTAACCAATACCTTTCTACAAGGAAAACCATTCCTTCCACTTCCCACAAAAAACGTATCAATCAATTCCCTTCTTCCAATTCTTCATATTATTATTGTTTCCATCTTCAACTAACTAATTAGCTCGTTTTTGTTTGTGTATGTGTTTGTGTTTATAGTTTCAGCAGCAACAAGGAAAAAAAGTGGGTAATTTCGGAGTATGGTGTAAGAAAAAAGACATACACCCAGAATTCTACGAAGATGCTAAGGTTTATTGTAACAACGAGCTTGTTATGACAACCGGTGGAACTCAGAAAAAGTATGTTGTTGATGTTTGGTCAGGTAACCACCAGTTTTACCTCGGTAACCGTTCATCCAACATGGTGGATGATGATCAGGTGGAGAAGTTCCGTAAGAAGTTCGGTGATTTATCGGACATTATGGAGATTCCTGTACTCAAAGGTGAGATTGTTGTTCCTTCAAGGCGTAAAGGGATTAAAAGTGGTGGAGGGAAGAAGAAGTAGGTTTAGTTGTCAAGTGAAAGTGAGTATTTATTGTTTTGTAATTGTAATTGTAATTGCTTGTATGGTGTTTGTTAAATTGCCTCTATGAATATTTCCTTTTTTGTATTTTAAATGTTTTGAAATAATTATTCATGTCATGTTGTTTGTTAGTAATGATTGTTGATAGAAACTCTGTAAATCTTTGAATTGTCGTGACAATGTGCCACTTTGATCATGGAAAAAGTTATAGTTTGAAGTTTCAACAAAATGATGATATTCATGTGATTTTGTCAAACTCACTTGAATAAACATGGAGTTGGATTCCCTACTGTCACGGATTTACAAAATCTTGAATCTTGACTATTGGATTGGATGAAGTTATATTTTGAAGAAGATTTGGTTATGTTATGGCTGTTTTTCATCTCATGGTTTAGTTCTCTTGACTGCGTGAATGCGTGATTCTTCCAAGTGGAAGGAATCCTAATTTTATAGCTGAGTATTATAAAGCTGGTAGTTATGTTAGTTTCCAATAATTGAAGCCTAGAGATTCTGCATAAAACTCATTCAATGTTCCTTAGGTTACTAATAGAACTGTCTACTTGGAACGTGTGGTGTTCGGTTCTAAAATATTAGAAACTTTGTTGAACTTTGGTACCGTTTACTACTGCAAAGAGAAAGAAATACTAACTAATACTAGAGGGAAAGTATAGTCAAAAGCTTAGCTATGTTTTAGTCTTGTTAATTAAGAATTACATGGCAATCTAGTTGTTCTTGGAGCTAAACTAGGGAGAGGTTTGAAAAGGTAGTTATAGCCATTGTGTTGAATCGTAAGATTGCGATCTTCTATGATTGTCCTTTGTGTGTGGATGACTATAAATTTTAATCCGGTTGGTCCTGGCGTATCTTCTACTAATAAAATCACCATATTCTTCTTTAGTCGAGACTAGCCTTCTGTTGGGCTTGCTGGTGCAGGTGTTGAAGATCGGACCTTGTCTCTTTCTATAAATAACTAGAGGGTCGGGATCGAGATCAAAGTTCTTTAGAGGGAGATTTGGTCAAACAGGCCTAGATGTCAGGCGGTGCTTCTTTCGGATTGTCTACACACCTACTCAAGCTTTCGACTATTCTTCCTTCCTAGATTCCTCACACTTCTCAAGAGGTTCTTGTTTCAATCTCCGAGGAAGATCTAATATATCTCCCGAATTTTCCTGAGGCAGAGAATATGGAACTCTTCTCTAAGGCTGCTTTTTTATACTTATCAGATGGCCTCTCTATTTTCTCTGGCTGGGGTGATGTTCTAGCAATGGGCAACTCTTCAAGGAAAGGGATGCCTGGAAGGAAAATGCGAGGTTGCCGAGTCCGGGATATCTCAGCTCCAAAAGAAATTATTGGCTCTCCAGGAAGAGGTAGATAAGTTGAAGTCACTTTAGGAGGATGCAAACGTGCATGGGTCCCCCCTCTTCTCTTGCGGCAAATATTTTAACTTCAATCATCTCTAGAGCTGGAGAAAAAGTCTCGCGATAAGGCTACCACTACTCTTGTGGAGATGACTTTTTGCACAAACAAGGTCGTGAAGGCTCTTCAGTAGGAGAATGAGTCTCAAGAAAATGAGTGGGAGACTTACGAGACACAATTGGCTGACTTGAGAAATGAGGTTAATGAAAATCTTTACCAATCCCTCAAAAGGTTGTATGGCGCCTTTGATGAAGCGGTCGATAAATTGGAGGCATTACGTCCCGGTGTTCAAGTTTTCCGCTCGTAGCTTAACCTGCATAAAGTAGTAAGAGAAAAAGTTTTGGTTAAGAACCATGGTGCTCAGCCTCAAAGGCAGTGATGAATGATTTTTTTTCCTTCTCTCTTTTTCTTTTTATTTGTATTGAGTGTTTTTCCTAATTTTTATATGTAACTTATATGAACAACATTGTCAACTTATTCAACTTCTTTATCTGATATTTTATTTATGTCTGTCGTGGTTTGTTTAATATTCTTCGTTGTCCCCCTGCTATATTAGCTGGTTTTTTTCTCTACTCTGTTTATTAGCTTCGAGCAAGCTTGTGACTTTCCCCTTGTTATGATCGGATTTAATCATCTCCAGAATAGGAGCTTTCCTTATTTGTAGTATTTGTCTGGGTCTTTTCAGACTAGAATCGGCGAGATCTTTGAAGCTCGTTGCCATTTATCATGTTGATGAGAATTGACGTAACCGTCAAGATTTTATAATACACGTCCCAATCAAAGGGAGTTGAAATAACTACTAATCTTTGTCGTTACTCGTCCCAATCGAAGGGAGTTGGGGTAATTTATGAGCTTGAAAGGAGTTGGTGTGAGTCTTCAACGTCACTAGGAACCACCCCAAGCCAAAGATCACATTCTCGTCCTGCATTTCACAAAATAAGAAAAACTAACAGTTATAAGTTTCATGCTCTTCCATCCATAATTTGAAGAAACTATATTAATGATATTAAAAACTTACAACTATAGATTTCATACTCTTTCCTCCATAACCTCCATCAGCTCTTCTTGTAATAACTCTAACATTATTTTCAAGAATACCAAGACACTATAGTAAAATGTATACACTCTAGGAACTCTAAATCTAAACTAATGCAAAATATGGACATAAATTGTCGGTCATTTCACTAAAGATACACCATAACATTTTAATTTGATAGCTTCTTTAAATATTAAAAGTGTCAACGGAATTTTGCAGAATTAGTCTGGTTCTTGCATGATAAATTTTCTTATTTTTGAATTTGCTACAAATTAGCTATGACTTTAGTTGCAGATTAGTTACAAATTTTTATAGGTTCAAGTATAATATTGGCCTTAGCCACGTGATATGCCACATCGCATCTTTGTTTCATTGGCACTGGCACGTGCAAGCCCAATCATCAAAAAATTTCATGAGGCAATGCTACATCAGCTTCTATTAACGATATTAGCAGAAAGAACGAAAAGTGTGAATAGAAAGTATTAGAAAGATTATTCTTTAAAGAAAATTGTTAAAATGACTAAAAGTGAAAATAAGCATATATATTCAAAAATAAAAACGAAAGACTAAAAATTTATTTAACCCATAAGTTTATACCGAACAAATAATTTATTTTAATAACTTAATTATATTATATTATATAAAAAATAAAAATAATAAAGACATATGTTACATAACAAATAATAAAATAAACCCCTGGTCTTTGTATATAAAAAAGGTGAGATATTATTATATTATTGGATGTCGGTAACATATCAACCAATAGCTTATATTTTGTACAAGAGAAAAGTTATTGAGTCATCACAATGTGAGTTGGATCCTCCATTAATTTAGACAAAGACAATTACAGTTTCTATAAAATCAACACATAATAAAACCATAACGTGCACCCTAATCAAACAACACCCGATCACGACTACAACAACACTAGGTATCATTCATTCACAGCACCAACAACCACTTTGTTCTTGTGGTTCAAAGTTGAAACGCAAGGTATCATTCTTACTTTGGTTTTTTGGGTTTGTGGTTAAACTGTTTGATGAAAAGCCTAACTGAGTTTTTCATTTGAATAAACAGATGGAGTTGACTTTAACCGAACAAGATGCGGCTCATTGGGTTTACAGAGGTGAAGGTGCTGCTAATATTGTTGTCTCATACACTGGTTCTTCTCCTTCTTATGTAAGTTTTTTTTTTCATCTTTTGTTTATTCTTGTAACTGAATTTTGCTTTATTTAATGTTTATATTAAGGCTAACTTGTATTTGTTTAGTGATTATTTGAATTTTTCTTATGAAATTAATTAAACCTTGTGTCTGTGTTTCATAATTGGATTTGAAAATTCATTTATGATATTTTCAGCTTATTTCAATAGAATTTGCATAATAGCTTATTGGATAAGTGTTTTTCTAGAATAGCTTATTGAATGGGCACTTGGGGCTTCTTCGGATTGACTTAGTGCATGTTTGGATTGGTTGCAAGATTGGCAAAATCATGATCAACCATAGTGATTTTGGTAAAAACTACACAGTGCCACTCAGATTTTGTTGAAGTCGCCACTAATCCAAACATTCACCTAGTTGTGTTTATCTTATGGTATAAGCAGTTTCTGGGTTTAGCTACTCGGATTTTGACATGTTCATAAGTTTTTTTCAGCTTATTTTCTCAAGCTCTTCGGGGTGGCTTATGAAAAAAGCATATAGCTTATACGAAAACAATTTGTCTTTTTTTTTTAATCCAAATAATTAAATTGTTTTTCTAAATGTATCTTTACTTAGATTGGGAAAGTGATGCGCATTCGCAAGTCTCCAAGGAAGGCATCAGCGTTGCCGGGAGTGAGGAATACCATAGCTCTGTCTCCACATGAACGCCTCATCTGGAAAGAAGTACATGAACTTATTTCCTCTTCAGATAAGGAAATTGCTGGCCAACTATATGTCGATCATGTCATGAAGCCTTTGCTTGGATCCAAATATGTTGATGCTGGGGTATGTAGTCACTGTTGCATTGTTCCTGCCACATCTTTTTCCTGTGGTAGATTGATGTCAGCACCCATACAAAAGTTGTTGTTTTTATTGCATATTCCAACCCATTATCCTAAAATGGCTGTTTTTATCATCAATAGCTTTTTTATTGATAAAAATGGCTTTTTGTGAATTGCCATATTTTCACGAATAAAAAGCAGTTAAGATGTTGCACAAGAAAGTTTTGTGATTATGATCTCTGACCTACATCTATTTTGGTACTTTCTAGACTCACATTCTGGTGACCAAGGAATTCCTAGAGACCGTTGAGAAGAATATTGATAGTCAGCGTCCTGCTTGGCGAATTGATGTTTCCCAGGTGGATAAGCAATGTGATTTTGCTCTTCTCATGTCGGATCATTCGATCTTCCCTCACGGTATTGAGACATCTATTATTGCACTTGCTTCTACTGGTTACCATTTCCCCAATTTTCATTTGAATTAAAGATCTAAATATTAGCACTGCATTGTGTAGCACTAGCATACTAGTAAGCTTGCTGTTTTATTTCAGGTAGTCAAGGATCTAGCCACAGTATATCAGTTGAAATAAAGGTATAGTCTCTTCCATTATGTTATTGTCCTTTGGTTTGTTTTTCTCCGATCTTTATTGTCCTTTGGCTTGAATGTAACATTTTAACTTTTCTGTTTCTCACAAAGTAGCCTAAATGCGGATTTCTTCCACTTTCAACATTCATATCTGAAGGAACTGCTATCAAAAAGAAGATAACTCGATTCGAAATGCATCAAGCTCTAAAATTGCAACGTGGAGAGGTACATCTACATCCTACAAATTTTAACTTCGGATAGTGGTTCTATAGCTTCTAGATAGCATTTTATCATCTGTCTTTTGATTGATGTATTAAGAGACAGTATCCGTAATTTTTTCTATAACTAAATCTGTTAGAAAATTTTCAATAAGTATGCAGATTTCACAGCGGAGTGTGTACAACCCACTTGATTTGTTCTCAGAATCAAAGGAAAGAGTTCATAAAGCTATCAAAAATCTCTTTACTACCCCTCAAAACAATTTCCGCGTATTTTTGAACGGTTCTCTCATACTCGGAGGACTAGGAGGTGGTGCTGAAAGTACAGATGCATGTATGGCTAAAGTACTTGAAGATGAACTTCACTCGGTTATTCAAGCTGGCTATGGACAATGTACAGAGAACTTATTTACTCTTGTTACTGAAGCTGTGCAAAAATCAGGAGTCCTTGATCAGCTCCTGGAGGTTCAGAAGCTTGATCGTTTTGACATAGAAGGAGCTATCCATGCATATTATAACATTACTTTTCAACAGTGCAAGGTGTGTAAAGAATTGAGTAAAGAACAGGCAAAAAAATATTCCTCTTTGCATTCTGCGTCATTAGACGAAAGCTTGAGAATCGTAAAGGACTACCTGATAGCAGCTACTGCAAAAGACTGCAGTTTGATGGTATGTTTTAGACCAAGGAAAGAGAATGATTCTGGATCTTCTTACAATACTGTACATCTTGAGTCAACTAAACAAGCCTTTGACTATAAGGTAGGAATAACTTCATATCTATTATTATTGGTTTAAATTTTATGATATTATACTTTACAGCTATAATGTTTGTGAGATTAGAGGTCTTAGTTTGGCTGCAATTTGATTTGTATTAGGTGCATTTTATCGACCTCGATTTAAAGCGATTGAATAAAGTGGAAGAATACTATGAGTTAGATAAGAAGATAGTGAGCTGCTACAAAGAGATGAACAAAGTAGATGATGGAAGAAATGAAGATGCAAAGTTGCAGGGACCTGTTGAAAACCTGCAGGGATCTGAAGTTGCAAACCTGCAGGGACCTGAAGTTGCAAACTTGCAGGGGCCTAAAGTTGCAAACTTGCAGGGACCTAAAGTTGCAAACCTGCAGGGACCTGAAGTTGCATACTGAGATTTCATAGATTTCTTCCTTACAAAATGTTGTGATGACAGTCAAAAGATGAAGATGCAACTGGTATAACTATTTTGCTTTGTTACCCTCCTCTCCTCACTGGTTGTACTACCCTACTATTAAATTTCTGCATAGTGGGTTTGTAGGAATCCATCTCTTACATAATTATTGTGTTTGTACTTGTATTAACTTTCTATTTCTGTTAATTATTTGCTTTTGGAATGCATGTATGCTCTAAATTTTTTTATTTCTATTGGATTTAGTCAATAAATGACTCCTAAGTTTTAGAAACAAAGTAAAATGTTTTCCCACGTTCCTATTTTCGTAGTATTGTGTGTTTTTTTTTTTTTTTTTATATTCTGAAATGAATAAAAACTTATTTTCTCTATTCCATTTCCGTATTATCCTCTTCTACTGTAAACCTACAAATGTGTAGCAGAGTTGTCATCTCACAGAATCTATGAAAATGGAAACTGAAACAAGTTGCTCCATTTGTATTTGATGGGGACAACTGTGACCTTTGGGTGGTAAGAATGGAGTCTTATCTAGAAGTTTTGGACTTTTGGAAAGTCATAGTTGAGGATTATAAAGTTCCTCCTTTACGGATAATCCTACCATAGCTTTGTTAAAATATCACAAGGAGAAAAATAAACTGAGAAGGTAATGGCAAAACCATGTCTTTTCTGGTGTTTCAGAAACTGATTTCACCATAATCATGACATTCAAAATAGAAAAAGTCATATGGGATTATTTGAAGAACAGAAGAAGAATGCACAACGGATGACATGATTTCAGGCATGCAAGTGCTGAAGTTAAAGAGAGAATTTGAGTTGTGGAAATTAAGTTACTCGGACAAATTATTTTACATTGCAAAGAAAATTAAGCTATTTGGTACTGTTTTTGTAGGGCTGTGGAATTACATATTTCGGTGCCTTGGCATAAATACAGTAATGCAGATTGATGGTTGGAAGCACTTGGAACAATTTGAAGGCCTGGTGGTATGAGATAGGTTGCCCTGCAAAGTTAGCAGTAATTTGGTTTGCCTATGTATGGACTATATGGAAGGCTAGGAATGAGAAGATGTTCCGAAATGAAGAAATAAATCTCGAAAAAATGGTGGAAGAGAAGAAATTGTTATCTTGTAAATTGCTACACATCAAGACAAGATGGAATGAAGATAACATAGCGCAGTGGTTCTCGCATCTGAGGGTATGCTTAGGATTTACAAAGGAGTGATCCTTTGGCACTTATGTTCAGTCAAGCAACCCTATTGTGAATCTCAGGCTCAGTTGGTGTTGTTTGTTGCCAGAGGCAACAGGGCAGATTATGTGGTTGGTGCAAGGATCACTAATGGAATCAAATTATGAGGCGCAAATTCTAGAAGCTCGGTAAGTGGTGGATTCATCACAGGCTCTTGGCTAAAGAAGGGGTGTTTATTTATCTCAAGCCTGGATTAGGAGATGGTTGATGATATTGGGAGGAAGGAGAAATAGATGTCTGGCTGTTTTATGTTAGTGTTTTGGTTGATGTGTTAACAGTTTGATTATTCTTCTGTTGTCTAGCTCATGTGTTGTTGTATTCGATCAACGTGGTTTTATAGGTGCGGTTAGGAACTCGTGGATTTGAGTGTCATGTGTTGCAATCATGAAAAGCAGTAGCTTGCGGTTCAACTGCAATTGGAAGTATAATATCGATTGAGTTAAGAGCTTCACCAAATTGATTTAGGTGTGTGGTCAGTCTGTAGCAGTGATGCAATTTGTAGGGTGGTTGTTTCAGGTGATATTTCTGAAATAGCTGTCTGGAAGAATATATTCATTTTGTCAGTTTAGGGATAGAGTATCCTTAACAGTCTTTGCTATGACAGAGGAAATTAGTTTTATTATGGGTGGTAGTGGCTATTCACTGATATTAGTATGGAGTTGAATGTTAATTGTTCTTAGTTGAATTTCTGGTTGGAGAAAATAAACTGTATTAAGGAGATATGAAGCTCGTACGCCCAAATATGACCCAGCACTTATACAGTGATACTAAAAATAATTTGAAAAAGTGAATAAATTAAACGTAATCACAATTGTCAGTGTAGATGTTCGACCCAATACGAACACGTCATTTTTCAGAGGTGTTCGTGCTACATAGTTAAACTTTCAAGAAAAACTTTTTTATTTTTTATTTTATTTTTTAAAGTTGTTAGTTTATAAGTAACAACACCTTGAAATTACAAATAAATGTTGTTAGAGATTGAACCTACACCCTTCTAACTTAACTAACAATTGCCAATTAAACTACCCCACCCACCCCACCTTATTACAAACTAACTTTGTCTATTTATACATGATAATCAACTATGGTGAGTTATTTCTAACAAACTCAATGTGTAAATAACTAATTTCTAACAAACTAACTATCTAGCTTAGCTTATAACCAATTATTTGGATAACAAGTAAACAACAAAACATGAGTTAACTAAACAACCACTACACCTAATTCATATTCTCTAAGCTTTTTATTTCATTAGTTTATTCAACTCCTCAAACCTTGATTTCTTCATATGCTTGGTAAACATATCTGTAAGTTGCAATTCTGATTTGCAATATTCTAACTCAAGTTTTTCTATATTCATTTGATCTCTAAAAAAATGATATGTTCCCTCAACATATTTACACCTACTATGACTCAGAGAATGACTGACTAAATCTATTGTTGACTTGTTATCAACCAGCATCTTCATCTTATCATGTTCAATGACCTTCAGTTATTCCAACACCATTTCTATCCATAAGATTTGACATGTTGCATTGCTACATACTAAGCCTTGCAAGATGATAGTGCTACTATTCCTTACTTTTTTAAGCTCTGTGAGATTTTCTGTATCTCGGCCTACTGTTACTCACTTCTAGGTTGCCTTATGCATATTATAATATTTAAAAACATGCCCTGTCTCAGGGCCTATTATATCCATTTAGCACTGATTTGTTGTTTTCTTATTTTGTAGATAGTGATTGGGCTACTTGTCTCACAACACGCAGGTCCATCACCGACTATGTCATCTTCCTTGAAAGCATACCACCATTTTCGCTCAAGCTTAGAAGCAAAATATAGAGCTCTTGCAAGTCTTAGTCGTGAAGTCCAATGACTGCATTATTTATTCAAAGATCTCCACATTATTTTTCTAAATCCTACTTCCATGTACTACGACAACTGCTCTATTGTGTATTTAGCGCACAACCCCATCTTCCACGAATACTCCAAACACATTAAGATCGATTGTCACATCATGCAAGAAAAGTTAGAATCTTGCCTCATCAAATCGTTTTCAATTTTATCTTCGACTCAGCTTGTCGATGTTCTAACAAAGCCTCTCTCTACACCAGATTTCGCCTCTTTTTTATCTAAACTTGGTCTTGTTTCTATTCACAGTACACCTTAAGGGGGAGTATTAGACAATTAGTTGTGTTAGGGATTATTATTATACTCTTAATTGTATTATGAGACTTGTTAGTTTCTCTACAAGGTGTATAAATACACATCTTTTGACTATTAGGGTAGTCAAAACCAAATCACCCCAACAGAAAATTGAAAATTGAACTGAATTAAACCGAAACGGTAAAAAACAGCATTTAGTTCAGATGTGTTTGGGACATTTCTTTAACAAAACTGTACAATTCGGTTCAGTTTGCGGTTTGTATTTTGTAAACAAAACCAAACCTAACCGAATCAAAATTTATTATGTTACAACTCAAACTTCACTTAACCCACATCTAAACTAAACCTAAACCTATTATGCATTGGCTTTATGATCACGAATGATTTTCTCCTCTTCACACTTAGGGTTTCAGCTTCAACATTCTAAAATTGCTCATAGCAATATCGCACCTTCTCCTCCAAGTACATCTCGCATCTTCTTCTCTAATCTCTACTCTCTTATATTCTTTCTTTTTCATCTTCTCATTTTTATGATACTATTCTCTCTTCCAATTTCATTTTTATCACGCCTCTTCTTCTCTAATCTCTCATTTCTTTTGTTCTTTCTTTTTCATCTTTACTAATCTCCTGTCTCCTCTATTGTTTTCATTATAATGTTTTTTTATATTGTTTTATGTTTATTATTCCATTTTTGTCTAATATGGTTTTTATATATTAAATAGGAAGTTGTTGTTCAAATATAATGAGTTTTGTTGTTATTTTATAATGTATGAAAGAATAAGCACAAAGTTATGTTATTCTCTATATGTGTATGTATGATTCATTAATTTTTTTTTTATAAAAAATCGAACCAACTAAACTGAACCGAACTGTATTGGTTTAGTTTTATTTATAAAAATGAACTCGCATTGGTTTGATTTAGTTTGATTTTATTTCTAAAAACCAACCGAATCAAACTAAACCACGAGTTTCTCTCTCTTACAGTTCAGATAATTTTTAGCGTCAAAATGCCGCATTTAATTTGATTCGTTTTACATTTACTATTAATTATTAATGTAATTAGGTTTTTGAGTCATAATGATATTTGGTATTCTCACATTTTGAAAAGCCAATAATCTCCATCTCAATCTCCTATATTGAGTTATATTCGAGGCTAATTTAAATTTAATAGAAGGAAAAAGTAAAATAAGGTTTTGATGCAAAAGTACATGTATGTATCTTCCAACAACTCCACAATATGTTTTCATCTTGATGAATATAACAAGAATCTCTATGTTTTACTATTTGACCTAAAAAACTATATCTTATTTATCCTAAATCTTTACTTTTGAATTTATTATTGAAAATTCAATAACTTTTTCATTTTATCAAAATTATTATCTATAAGGACTATGAGCAATCCTTTGTTTATTAGCTTGCTTAAAATTTATGAAGCTTGCAAACTTTGATAGTTTTAGAATGATCGGTTTTTATGTTTAACCAGCAGGTAGTAAAATCATATAAGTTGCTTACATTAAGTTGCTCAAAACCAGTTTTAAATTGAAGTTAAAGGAAAAAGTGTTGTGAGCGTTAACATGAAAAAGTGTCACAAAAATATCGAAACCTTCAAGTTGTGTGTAACCATCCGCCACTAATCTGGACTTACATCTCTCAATAGAGTCATCTAAATTCTAAATGATGTTTTATTTTGAATATCCATTTACAATCAATATGTTTCATGCCATAAAAGAGATCAATAACAGACCAAGTTTTAGTAGAATCTAGGGCATGTAAATCAGTATTCATTTCATTTTATCAACACTAAAATTTAGTTTATTGGAGATTAACAAGACTTTCATCTTGTTCAAACATTGTAATTTTTGTTGTCTATTAAATGTTAAAAAATCAACGAGGGATTTTCATTATGATGAGTGTAATAAGTTTAGTACAGTACCCCTTTGTAATAAAAATCATTTTAAAACAAAAACTTTCCAGAGTGGAATAAAACAAACATACATGGAAAATCTTGTGAGCTGATACAGCTTATTCAATTCCCTTTTCTTGTTCTATATAAATATAATTAATATATCAAAAACTCCGTCAATGATAATATAAAACCAAAAACTCCTTTGATGAATTCGAATAAAACATTTGACTTGGTCCTGAAAGATACGCGTTTGTCTTGTTGATCCAACTCATAATTAAAATGCAGTAATCATCATTGAAAAGTTCTTAAAATTTAATGTATGAGTTGAAAGTCTTTACATTAAGGAACCAGCCATACACCCACCTAATTCCAACCAACCAATTTAGACTTTATAATGATTATCTTTCCAAATTAAATTTCTTCTAATAACGTGCAACTTTAAGCAATGATATATTACCGTCAAAATAAATACTCTCTATGTTGCTTTTTAATTTGTAATGGTCTTTTTTTTTTCCACATATTAAGAAAGCTAATAATTTTTACTATTTTTCATGTAATGATTGTCTTTTTGCTTATAATATCCTTAATTATGTATTAATTTATTTAACTTTTTCTCTCTTCAAGAAATAATTAGGGATAATTTTTACAAAACAATAATTAATGTTGTCTTGAACTTTCAAAACGACAATTTAAAAAAAACAAAATTTTTACTCAAAAGTAATAGTAATAATAACATCGACAAAAGGCTTGAATGAAAGTGTATATAAAAGTTCTAACAATGACCATAGATCAAACTTCAACTTAAAACTTAAATTGAGATTGATAAATGTCATGAAATGATTTACAATTCAACACTCAAACAATATTGGTAAAATTTAGAGAAAGATAAGTAGCTGTATGTACACATATATAGTTTTCCATCACACAATAGCTTTATTCATAAAATGGACAAGCCAATATGAAGACAAACTCACAGTGCCAATATACAAAGCAGAAAATTCCAGGAACAGCTTCTTTCTGTACAGTTATCTCTTCACCAGCAAAATTTCTTTTTCTGCTTTACAAAAATAGATAATACATTTAAGACTTTTCGTGCAAGATAGTATCAAGTATTTCGATTTTTAAACTTTGAAACTACACAAGATGCAAAATATCTTTGACCTACCTCGAATTTTCTTCTTTCCTGACTGTCGATGTATGCCATTAGTTCTTCTTGTCTAATCAAAGCTTCGTATAAAGCCTGCATAGAAACGAAAAGCACTAATTTGTATAAATATATACCGAATTTATTGAACATTTAGCACTACGCTAATCTTAGTTTAAATGGTAAAAAGTTAACTTACGCGAGACAGTTCAGAAAGAGAATAAATAGAGTAAAACATATATAATTGACTCGATCACAAAGTAAGCTATTAAGTTTTTTCAATCCAAATCTAACACAGATCAAGTCCCTGACCTGTGCGATAAAACAAAGTAATCTGCCTACATGTCAGAATGGGTAAACTCAAGACTTGGAGATAAGCTTATAATTTTTGCTTACATTTAATGCTTCAAGTTTATATACTCACTGCTTAGATAAGTTGCAACTTGACATTCATAGTCAGAATATGATAACTGAGCAGATTATTGATGGACAGACCAATTCGTTGGTACATAATAATACTTCGAACCATAATTTTCCATGAAACTGAGAACTAATAAGACAGCAGGAAACAATAACTTTAATTTTTTAAGTGTAATACAGTTACCTTCTTTGTAGTGATCAATTCAGCTTCCAATGCATCCACACGATAAACAGCAGCATTCAGAAGCTCCTCTTTTTCACATGGCATTACATTAGGTTTTGACTGCAGCATTTCAACCTTTTCTTCAAGAACACAAAGGCGTTTCAAAGTAGACGAGGCATGTTCTTCCTCTGTTGATCTGTGAGCAGGTGATGGGGGACGAGATTCCTCCTTGGTTATTGGTTCGGCACTAACCAACAAGTTAGGCATATTTTGGAGACAGTCGGATTCGTTGTCTTTTATTCCTTTAGTCCTACGAAATTTTATTGAACGAGCAAAGGTAAAAATGGCAACAAAGAAGCCAATGATAATAGCCCATATATATGTACGCTTTCCATCTGATGCTCCAGTCCTCGATAGATATTTTTCTGCAACAAACAACACATACATTACAAATAAACATACCTACTTTTCTAGGATATAACTAGTCAAATGTAAATCAAAAACTAAAACATACATACATTCTTTGAAAATATGTGAAAGTTATATAAAACCACAACCATATTGAATATATTTCATATGCAAATGATGGGGCATATCAAATTCAATAACTGCACATCATGTGTCAAACCTGTTGTGCCATATGAGTTATAAGTTGTCACTTGTTTCTCCTTCCAGGCAACATCAACAGTCTTGTCAACCATGGGCACATACTCATCATACTCAGAGAAACCGTAAGAAAGACCAGCCCTACCAGCCAACCTTGCCTGGACAAACACAAAGCAGTTATATTTAATTCATTGAAACATTATTTTTATCTAATCTATCGTTTGTTTTTTTCCTTTTGCAACAACAATATTAATCTTATTGCCACTTACTTCTTCATGGACAGGAGTCAATCTAGGGTTTGTATAATTCCCACTTGCTTTGGGGGAAGTGATATCTTCAACTTCAGATCCTGATTCTGCTGTTGATGTATCACTACTTCTTATCTGCCCCAAAATCCAAACAAAGAGTTTATCAGAATTCAGAAATATATAATCCAAGAGTTTAATTTATGAAGTAACTAAGATGGTATTAGAAACTATACCATTGGATAAGACACTTTATCACATTCAATTACTCTCCCCTCATCATTAGTAACAGTTACTATTTGTCTAGAACATTGTATTTCCCCATTTAGAACCATCTACATTCATACAACTGTTTTAGCTGAGATGCAATAGCAGAAGCAAAAAGAAAGATAACTAGCATATGCATTTTGGTAAAAACAGTCTAAAATTTACATAATCAAACCTTCATAACGTTTGGGTCTTGCCATGGTCCTTTATCTGACCTCATACAACCACCTTGATCTGCACAAGTACAACTACCACCAAGAAACTCTGGCAGCTCACTGAAAAACCACACAAATAGAAAGAATGTCTTAATGATAATACAAGTTGATTGAGAAATAACACGATTAAGAACATCAATGCATAGTTACCTGACATCAATAATTTCAAATAACTTATTCTGGAATTTGTTTCCAAGAACCTAATTGAACATTGAATTATTAATTAATGACATATATATATATATAGACTAGTCTGTCAACTGTGAAACATTATTATTTGATGGAAATACTATGAAAATAAACAAATATAACTAATAACTCAATAATGAATACACATACATTTATCTTTGAACTAGTTTTGGGATCAATAAATGTTTTCACTGTGTTCCAAAGAAGCTTGAAACCAGGTCCAGCATTGATTATGAACATTCGGCATAATGTCTGCATTGCATTATTTACAGGTTGAAGAGCTAATAGAAAATAAGCTTGGAAGCCATGAAGAATTGAAAACTATCAAAAAAATTCATGATGAAAGCAACATACTTCGGGATAGTAGTCACCATCAATTTTCTGCAGCCGCATGATGAGTTCCCGTGCAGTCTTTGTGAAGTTTTTGAAACCCTACAGAGCATAAGGAAGAATAATGCAAACCAGTTATTGACTAAATTTAAGTCAATGGTGCCAAGGAAAATTTCAAGTCAAGATCACTTAGACATTAAACTTACCACGCCGTGAACATCCAAAATGGTGGTGCTTGAATCTATGTGTCTCTTTGCAGCAATAGAACAAGCAGGAAACTTAACAGCAAACGTTTTCTCAAAACCCTGTACATGGTATTTTAAATACCTTTCCATGGTAGTTACTTGCATAAGCTTATTGGGATCAACTTTACCTAGCCTCTCGATATAAATAGGTCTTCCTTCCTTATCAACACCATGATAACCGTGTGGATAGTATTGTAGGACTTCGTTAAACTCACTAAACTCAAAATCCTAGAGTGGAAACCAAAGGAGGTAAAGTATAAACAACAAATTCAAGAAGACTAAAATGTATTGGGGATCAATTTAAACATGATTAACCAAAGAAGAAAACCCAAAAAAAAAGGTTTGCTATATTTTAAGATTGGATTACTCACCTCCATAATTGTATCGGTACCATACTCTCTCCTCCATTGGATCATGTTAGCCCACATGTGCTTTGCCTTCTCGACGTCAAACTTTCTTGCTTTCAAGAATCTGCAATGAAGTCAGCTAATTCAAGTTTAAGACTATAACCCAAATTGAATGTGTCATTTGTAAATTCTTCAGTTTGAATGATTTTGAAGTATAGTATAAAATACAATGGTAGTGGTACCCTCTACGCAAAGCACAAAATGCCATAACTTATACGTATAGTTTGAAGTATGCATGTTGTGATTCAAACCAATCTACATAGATGAGTAGTAATAAGTAGACGAGTGAGTGAATCATTGATTTAGTCCCATAATTCTAGGGTTCAAATTTGGTCCCTAAAATTTGAAATTTTCCAAAATGATCTCTAAAATAGAACATCCTCGATTACATTATTACATCAAAGACAATAGTGAATTGAACAACTAAAAATAATTTACATTACTTTGGAATTTTACTAATTTTAGGAACAAAATTACCCGGCTACTACAATTTCAAAAACTAAATCAGTGACTCACTTTAACCAGAGGTATAACAAAACCATTAACCACGCTTTAGTAATAATCACTGCAATCTTTATAAGTAAGCTTCTAGTGAAAAATGGCAATCTACATCTATATTGATGATAAAAGATACATCTGGTAATCTATTCACATCCACATAGTTAAATCAACAACGAATCAAAAAAACTCAATAACCTCAACAACGTATGATAATCATCATGTCTCGGAGGCAACAAATTCTCCAAAATAAGCGAATGTCGAAAAGCATCCACAGCTTGCAGCTCCTTAACATCTCGAACATCCTCAATCGCAAGCGAATTACTCCGACTCGCATTCTTTCTCCGACTCTTCTTCCTAAGAGAATGTCTAAACTTACTCGAAGCATTAATCGCTTTCTTTTTCAAACTCCCAATTCTGGTTCGCCTATCGTCTTCGGAATTCTCAAAATCCGATTTCCGCTCCCTTCTTTCATCATGATGACCAGAGAAACCTTCAAAACCTAATCAACAAAAATTCAACAAATCCAGAATCAAAAACCTAATATAGTATATAATTATATTAATATTAAACTAAATTCAGCTGATATAATCTGAATTAGAGTTAATTCAGTGATCTAGATCAGTGTATAAGATAATTGGATTCATCAAAGTGAAATTCATAAATTGAATTGTTGAATAAACATAGAAAGTTACAAAAATCAGCACAAAAAAATATCTAAAAAGCTTACATGGACGAGCGAAGCGATCAAGAGGACCTGACATGTGGACAAGAGATTGAGATTGAGATTGGTAAAGAATTAACGGCGAATTTGTGAATTAATGGAAGTATGAAATTAGAAAGAAGCATGAAAAAGAAGAACAAAATTTAGAATAAAAATAATTTTACGTTTTTTAAATTGGATATAGTTGTAGTAGGTGTCGGCAGAAAGAGGGGAAAATTTGTTTTTAAGAAACGGTGAAAATGAAAATAAATGATGAAAACTGTTGTTGATATTATTAAAGTCAGAAACGGTTGCTTCTTTCAGCTTGACAAGGCCAACATTAAATTATTATTTTTATATAAATAGATAGATAGATTTATTCATCAAATGATTAATGATGTGAAATACTATGCTTTTCTTTTAGTAGTAAAATACTATATGCTGTGATATGAGTGTTATGTGGATAAATATTTATTTATTAAATGATGTGGATTTTTTTTTAATATTTAACTCGTTTTATTATAAAAAAAATATGGAAGTTATTATTGTAAAATGAAATTTTTATTTTATTCTTGTTTTTTATTTTATTTTCTTCTTAATTATGTGAAGAGTTATAGCCAAATAATGAAATTAATTATAGCACATAGAAAAGAAAGATGGAGATTTTAAGGTTTGAATTTCTTCTTTGAATATTTTGAGATTAGACATTCAAACATAAGAAATGTGAATGAGTTTTACAAGAATTTTATAGTTTTAAGCATTTACCATTCATTATTTTTATTGAAGTTTTTATGTCACATTCTTCTCCGGGATTTTGTTGATGATAGACTTGTTGTTGGAAGAAAAAAAAATGAAAAGTATAGATGAATTCAAGAAAGCTCTAAGCAAATAATTTGTTATGAAAGATCTAGGTGTTGTGAAGAAGACTCTTAAGATGGAAATTAATAGACATCATTCTAAAATAATGTTGTAGATGTCACAACAAGACTACATCAAAAAAGTTTTAGAGAAGTTCAACATGTATAGTGTTAAACTTTTGCATGTTCTATTATCTTGTCATCTAAAACTTATCAAGCAACAATTACCAAACAATGACAAAGAAAAAAAAAGCAAGGTGTCCTACCATTCATTAATGGTAGTCTAATGGTAGTTTTATGTATGTAATGGTTTGTACAAGATCAAAAGTTGCATATGTTGTTAAAGTAGTGAGTAGATTTCTATCGACTCGAGAAATGAATGTTAGAATGTTATAAAATGGATATTAAAAAATATGAAAGAAACTTTCATAAAAAAAATTTTCTTTGCCAATGGAAGTTTAATGCTCATCGAATATGCATATGCATATATTACGAGCAAGTCCAGGTCAGGATATCTAATTATTTTTTTGCAGAGGATTTGTTTTTTGTAAATCAAAAACATCAAAAATGTGTTGCATTCAAATACTAAAGCTAAATATATTCCAGCATTAAAAACTTGCAAAGACATGTTGGGGATGAATAATGCGAGCTAGGACATCTACAAGATAATTATAAAATAGACTGTGACAATCAAAGTGTCATCCATGTAACCAAGAATCTCATGTTTCTTTCACTTTTCAAACACATCGACATTTGTTATCATTAGATACGAGAAGTGTTGGATGAGAAAAAGTTAAAGTTTAGAAAAATCCACATTGATCTTAATTGGTCTGATATAATGACAAAATACATATCAACCAAAAAATTGAATATTGATACTCATATGTCGGTATAGTAGTGATGAGTGATAGTCAAATCATCAAAATAACTACAACACTTGAAAAAGGACGACATAGTTTTCAAGGTTTGAATTTCTTCTTTGAATTTTAAATCTGCACATTTAAACATAAAAAATGTGAATATTAGATTTACAAGAGTTTTGAAGTATAAGAATTGAATAATCATGACAACTCTTGAAGTTTCTAAGTGAATTTCTTTTCCTATAAATATGAAGTTTTGTAAAGAGTTTCATCATTCCATCATTGAGAGAAAATGTAATAGTGATAGTGAGAAATAGAGTTATAGCCTCTTTAAAAGAAGGAGAGTATTGTTTCCATCATAATTTAATAAGAGTTTGAAGATATTGTATATCATTATAGTCTAGTCAAGTCAGATTGAGAGATAAGCTCTTGTATCAAAAGCTTGTAACTTTTTTTTATAATGGAGATATTTTATTGAACTAGGTTATGTGAGTTTTCTCTTTCACATTGAAAAAAATTTCAGTTAAAATTTTTTTTCTACTTTATTCTCTTTATTTTTGATTCCGCTTAATGTCAATTTTAAATTCAAAGAGGAATATGTTTTCAATAACTTGAATTATTTTTTTCATCAACATGAGGGAGCATTTTATTTTGGGGTCTTTTTTTTATGAGTAAAACGTCTTTGTGAGAGACACACCACATACTCATCAAAAACATTAAGATGATAGGTGTGCGGGTTCTTCCTGTTAGAATTCAACCGCGATCTATGGTGAATTCTTCCCAATCATGATCTCAAGATTGTTATGTAATGACAATGAACAAAAATAAGAACAGAGTAACTCTCTACCCACAATTGAGAAATTTTATTATCACTTTGCAATTGTAAAACTGTGATTATCAAACTTGATCTATTACAATAATAAGGGTTCCTCCCTATTTATAGATTTAGGTTAACTTGCATCTCAAGTTAAAGTCCAAACTATAAAAGCCCAAAAATATCTAATCTAATCTTTCTAAATCAAATATGATCTTTCTAAATCAAATATAATGTTTCTAAAACAATGAATTACATATTTAATACACTACATAATTCATTGTGTCTAAACTATCCACATTCATCATAAACCTTAACTTCTTAAACACTTCGACCGACACTCCCTTCGTCATGATGTCTGCAATCTGATTCTCAGTTCTGCAGTGTTCCAAGTTCATCTTCTCTTCTGCTACATGTTCTTGAAGATAATAGAACCTCATTTTGATGTGTTTGCTTTGGTCGTGTGTTATTGGATTCTTCGCCAAGTTGATAAATGATATGTTGTCGACCTTCATGGTAATTGCTCCATGATTCTTTGATGTGATTTCTTCGACCAGGTTCACCATCCAAGTTGTTTGATATACGCAAAGAGAAACAATTATATATTCTGCTTCGGATGATAAAAATGCCACTACTGGCTCCTTTCTCGAACTCCAAGCAACTGGTGCACCACCTAACATAAACACATAGCCAACTGTAAATTTTTTATCCTCATCACTACGCCAACTTGAGTCAGTGTATCACACTAACTTGCATTTTTTTCCTTCATCAGCTGCAGGAAAAAAATGCCATAGTCGAGAGTCCCTTTCAAATAACTCGGTATTCTCTTCGTTGCTGCTAGGTGTGATACCTTTTCCTTCTGCATGAATCTAATTACCATATCCACACCGTATGTTAAGTCAGACCTTGTGTAACAAAGGTATCGAAGTGGCTCAATAATTCTTCTATATTAGGTTGAGTCGACATCATCTTCATCTTACTGCTTCGATAATTGCAATCTGGTCTCAGTTGGAGTCGAAGTTGGGTTACAATTTTGCATCTCAAATCTCTTGAGTATTTCATCTGCATATCTTCTTTGGTGTATCATCAAACCTCTACCAGTCTTGTAGAAATCGATGCCAAGGAAATATGAGAGATTTACCAAGTCTGACATTTCAAACTCCTCACTTAGTTCATGTTTGAAATCTTCGATCTCCTTCTTACAACTTTCTGTTATCAACATGTCATCGACATAGAGACATAGTATAAGAAGTTCACTATTGCTTCTCCTTACATATACTCCATGCTCAGTTGTACACTTCACAAATTCCTTCTCCTTTAGAAAGTTTTCGATCTTCTTATTCCAAACTCTTGGAGCTTTCTTAAGTCCATACAGAGCTTTATGCAGCCTGTACACCTTTCTTTCTTCGCCTTGTTTCACAAACCAAGCTGGTTGTGCAACATAAAATTCTTCATCTAAGGGGTCATTCAAGAATGCACATTTCACATCCATCTTACATGTGTGTCAATTTTTCATGTTTTCTATACCAATAACCAACTTGATTGTTTCGATCCTAACAACAAATGCAAACACTTAATCAAAGCCGATTCCTTCCTCCTGTAAAAATCCTTTCGTCACAAGTCTCACCTTGTGTCGAGTTACCTCTCCTTTAGGATTCACCTTTACCTTGTAAACCCATTTCACATCAATTGCCTTCTTGCCTTGAGGCAAATTGACAAGTGACCAGGTGTTGTTGACTTCGATGGATTCTAACTCCTCATTCATTGCTTTCACCCACTTCAAATCTTTTAATACCTCAGTTGCATTGACTGGTTCAACATCTGCATAGAAAGCATAGTGTACCAACTCACCTTCTTCATTGACCACACCATCTAATGAAATCACGCATCCTTGCAACCTTACAGGAATGTGTCTTGTTCGTCGAGGTCTGCTTGGGTCAGCTTCATCTCTGACTTGCTCCTGTCGAACTTCTCTTTCGACTTTAGTGACTGGTTCTTCACAAGAGATTCTCACTGAACCCTTATTGACATTCTCAGTCCAATCCCATTAGCTCATCTATGATCACGTCTCTGTTGATCACTACCTGTTTATTCACTGGATCGAACAACTTGTAAGCTCCAGTCGAATGGTATCCTATCAAAATCATCTGATTCGACTTGTCATCAAGCTTCCTTCTCAACAAAGAACAACCTTAATTGTCCACGGGTTTTTCCGAAAAGTGTGTATAAGAATGATGGCATCGTCTGCGAATTGTAAAAGGTTGAACTCCATATATTCTTCTACTTTAAACGATTGAAACCTTTGAAGTGAGCGAGTGTTTCTCATTAGGCCAGCTAATCCTTCAGCGACAATTATGAACATAAATGGATATATGGGATCTCCCTTAGCCATACCCCTTTTAACTTTAAAATCCAATGTAGGGCTTCTATTAATTAAGATGGACAAGGAGCTAGAGCAGACACAGACCTTTATTCACTTACACCATTTATTATCAAATTTCATGCGCTTGAGGACATCAAGCAAAAAACTCCATGACACATAGTCGAAGGGTTTCTCAAAGTCTACTTTGAATAAAAACATATCTTTTTTTTTTCATTTTTGCTAAATCCACCAATTCGTTGACAACAATCACTCTGTCAAGCATGTTATTATTTAGGACAAAAGTTGTTTGATTGTTTGAAATCAACTTACCAACATTCTTTAAACGTCCTGCAAAGAATTTTGAGTTGATTCTATAAATACTTTCAATCAATCAAATCAGCCGATAATTGTTAAGATCTTAAGGATTTTGATTTTTAAAAATTAGGGTTAAGAAAGTAGTTGAAACCGCCTTAGAGAAATAACCAGACTCAAAAAATTCTTTAATACACTAAAAAATATCGAATTTAATAATATTTCAGTTGACTGTCTTACCCGAATCTTTTCTTAGACTCCAACTACACTTTTTAAATTAATTAAATAATCATTATCAAAAGAATTTAAAAATAATTTATTTCTTATAAAAAAAAAAGACATAAGATAGTAAAAATTTTATTTTCACCTTTAGGTAGTTTTTCACTTTCAGGGTCCTCCCAGTATTATTTCAAGCACTATTATTATTCTACACCATGTGTCTTTTGGTAGGTCCAATATTATTTTCTGAAATTAATTGCATGAATTCGCCGTCGGTACGGTGGTAGTTGGTGGCTGGCTGGCAATTGTATATGATTCTATAATGGATATTTTTCCAAACATTTCCACAATATAATTTGTATGATATGATTTGGAGTTAATATCAATAAACCATATATTCTATCCAAAAGTTAATCATTGGTTTCTACTTCAACTGCTAGTAATACTTTAATGGTAGTCTGCATGAGATGGGGACCAAAAGAAAGTATGGACGATGGACTTACCTTCAATAAAAGGCATTTGACCTTTCTGGCTTTTCAGATACAAGGTGCATAGTTGTACTCAACCTTTGCTGACCTTTCAACAGGTAAGATTTTCAAGTACCACTATAACTATTATAGATATAAATAATATATATAGTAACATCATTCACCTTATTGTAGACCCTCTGTCATTCATTGTGCAGATACAGAGAACTCGCCTATTATTGTCTTTATTATTAAACCAATATTGTCACACTCTAGAATCTAGATGTATAGTAGCAAGGGTAAGAGGATGTAATAAATGTTTTCAAATGAATGTGATATATGATCTAAACAAATATTTATACATATATATTTTTCTCCATTTAAGTTGGTTTTATAAGTTGAATTAAGATAAAGTCAAATTCTTTATATAGTGAATCTAGCCAAAAAAATGTTAGGATTCAAAACATGTGCATTCTAACATTGTCTATTAGTCAATTTATATGATTATATTGCTTACAAGGCAAGTAATCAACGGTTGAAAATATGGTAAAACTAACTTAACATATTTTCAACCAACTAATTATAACTTGTTTGACAACTAACATACCTTCTCTTAATTTAAAGTTATTTAAACAACATATTAAGTCTATAAAACATCAATAATTTATATTAGGAATCTCACATATTTAAAAATAAATTTTTACACTTTTATGCAAGAATGAAAAAGAGTCGAAAGAATAAAAAATTTCTTATCTCAGGCCTAAGAGAAATTGTGGAAGGCTCAAACACCTCAATGACTATGAAGTTCCAAAGGTAAGAAAAAAAGGGGTAAAATCTACTAAATATTCTAGAATGTATTTGTTATTGCATAGCCTTGAGTCAGCAAGAGTTAGTTAGAAAACTCTTGGACTGTAGTGAAATGAAAAGATTATAAGTATTAGTCGTTGATGTAATAAAAGGCGCATGAATGAAAGAAATTATTAGATTTACCCTAGATTTATTATCGTTGTAGAATCTGCAGTATCCATAACAAATTGGTGCTTTCATTGAATTGATCATGACTCACCCTCCACCACCCCCACCACCACCCATCATAGCTGAACTTTCCGCCATCCTCAGTCAACTCCTCCACAACCAAGAATCATTTCAAGCTAGCGTTTTTGCCAACATCAACGCATTAACATCGGAGTTTCAAGATCTGCGCTCCCATTCTACCACTAGGGTTTGTGTCACTTATGCCCTCGATCGGATCTGAGATTCATTTTTCTCCCACTACTACCATGAAACTCAATATATCGCGCTTTAATGGCACTGATCCCTTAGGTTGGATCTTTAAGATCAACCAATTTTTCGACTATCACATGACAACGGAAGACCAACAACTTCACATCACATCTTTCTACACGGAAAGAAAAGCTTTAACATGGTTTCAATGGATGTACTCCAACAACATGCTTCTATCGTGGTCAGCTTTCTTACAATCATTGGGGTCCCGATTCGCTTCGTTGTTCTACGAAAATCTCAAAGGCGGTAAGTTCAAACTTTTCCAAACTTCCTTCGTGAAAGAATACCAGGCTCGGTTTGAATCACTCGCAAATCGCATCGTAGGGCTACCACCTCCCTTTTATCTCAGTTACTTCATCTCCAAACTAAAACCAGTCAATCGTCGACAGGTACAGGCGTTTCAATCCCTTTCACTGACTCAGGCGATACACTTTGCAAAACTTCAGGAAAATATATACCTGGATCGTACCCCATTTATGGTGAAATCGTTCCAACCCACCGCACGCACAACCGGAAGTTCCTCCTTCTTCTTCAAACCTTCCATCATCGTTAACCCACCTAAACCACCAACACATATCAAACGACTTTGCCCTAACGAATTACAAGCTCGAAGGGAGAAAGGATCATGTTATAACTGTGATGAACACTTTCATACAAGCCACTATTGTCGTCAAATGTCTCACCTCTTATCGTGGAATCTGAAGGGATGGAGAACACTGTCAACTCTCCTCCTAGAAACGATTGGGAAATCCCTCGTGATTCACACCAGATTGACGGGTCAGATCCAAACCTGGCCGAAATCAGCCTTCATGCCCTTATGGGCCACTCGATCCCACAAACCCTCTGGTTCATGGGCCAGATCCGAACAAGCCCAATGGCAATTTTTATTGACAGTGGGAGTACCTACAATTTTCTGCAGGATAGGGTAGCTAAACAATTGACACTATCGCTACCCACATTTTCAAAAGCAAGAAATTGAAACCCAAATTTGCTAAATGCTCAATCGAATCCTCATTCAAGCAATCGTCATTGCATTTTCATCCCCAGTTCTCCTTATTCATAAGAAAAATGGTAGTTGAAGATTTTGTGTCGATTACAGAGCGTTAAATGTCATCAGTGTCAAAAATAGATTTCCAATATCATCCATGGATGAACTTTTGGACGAACTCTATGGTACCCATTGTTTCTCGAAGTTGGATCTTCGCTCGAGGTATCATTAGATACGCATGACTCCCTATGAGATCCACAAAATAGACATTTCACATACATTTAAGGCACAATGAGTTCTTGGTCATGCCTGTTGGTTAAAAATCTGTAATAACTAACTTAATTGATTTTAAACCAAATAACTACATTGTTGCTTGACAGCTCACAAATCATTGCATTTACATATTCATCGGGGATCACCAGTTTTATCCAACGGTCACCTATTTTTAGGTAAGAAAATCTAGTTTATGTACTATATTATTGAAAAAACCCAAGTGCCAAATAGAGAAGAGGTATTATATTAGTTCATTTTGTAAGGAAAAGTTAGTTTCTATAAGTATAATTTGTAAGAATAAGTTACTTCGAATTTCAAACCAAATAAGTTGCCTTATCTAGAGTTAGTAATTGAAAGTGTTTGGGCCTGTGATTCTTTGATGATAATTGTGTTTGTGATCAAAAGTAGGTTTATTACAGATAATTGACTTGAATAAACACGGTCAGTGGCCATTTGAATCCTCAGAGTAACATATATACAAATTTTCTATAAACAAGTCTACCTAAAAAAAAAACGCATTAAAAAAAAACATAGGACAAAGTAATTATTTACAGCAGTATCCCAAATAAGTTAAAAGTAATTACATATAAACATTTTTTTTAGGATTAAACCAAGCATCAGATATTTCCACATGATGCATTAACAACATTAATGTTCAATTCTATACAGATATTCACAGAGAATTTCGGCATATATTTAGGATAAGGAACAGAGAGACGACACTGCTATCGATTATATCCAGAATATATGATAGTGTAGAGTTTAAAATTTTAGGACCTGCAACAAAATGAAAGTTGTCAATGTGCTTTAGAGTGTTCGAACAATAGCGCATATTCGGTGTAAATTTGTAATAGAAAACTAGTTTCACACCTTTTCTTGGTGTTTTTACCAGCCCTGTGTTGATTAAGTTTGTCCCTCCACAAAGCTGGAGTTGTTGCATCAGGAACATGAGATGTGAGAGTAACAAGATCAGAGAAGTAAAACTTATATAGTAGTCCACAAAAGAAATGTGGAACTTGAATGAAAAATAGTGGATTTTATTCAAATTATTCTTATAAAAAGTTCCTCTTATGTTAGAAGGTGACATGACAGGATCCTCATACATCATACATGAAAAACACAGATTCAATAACATAAAATAAAACCATAATCACTAAATGATTGAAATAATTGAAATATCAGAAGACAATAATTACCGGCATCATTGTACCGCTCTTCGCCAACAGCTTTCATCATGTTGTTCAAAAGATTGAATTCGTCGGTTTCAGCACAAGGCTGACCATTTGGCCTGCAATGTCACTTTTAGTTAAGAGATGTCTTTCACAATGCAAAGGACTACTATAACAGACAAGTCGAATTGCCTTATAACTACAACGTATTTCACAAACATACTTGTCCATTTCAGTTAGTAATCGGCCATCGAAACTAGGTAACTGTATTGACAGTTTGCCTGATTCAATTACTTTCATTCCATCACTGTACACCAAGCACTTGTTGACTTGTATTGGCACCTACATCATTAGTAAAATAGTGAAATACATGAGAAATAAAAAACGGCATTAAATTTAAACTAGTGTAAATAAGTATTTTGCATTCAGCGAGTTCAATGCAATGATGTATCCATTGGATTTAAACCTTTCTCAATAATGAATCTTTTGGAAGAAGAATAATGCCAGGAAAAAACAAATTTTACCACCACTTGATTTTCTAACATCAATCCGAGCAAAAATGGTTAACTGTCAAGCAAATTCGTCAGAAAACGTAAAATGCTTCAAGTGATGATGTAGTTGAATGCATGAGTTTACAAAGACTACTCTACCTTGCATCTAACTGCGATATTGATAGCATCTGAAGGTCGAAGATCAAAACTCCTACATTCTGCCTCATTTCCAACCTATACCAAATAAATACACCGTCATACAGCATTTGAGGTGAATGTTGCGTGTTTTTTTATCGTTTTTGAGGGATGGGGGGAAGAATGTGTACAGAGTAAATACCTTAGTAAGATACAACTGTGCAAAATATGCCTCATCAACTCTCCTAGTCACTCTGACAAGTCTAACCTGCTTGCAGGAAATGACACGAGTTTATTATAAGTTATCATGGAATCTGATGGAAAAATTACAATATAATCAGGATTTAGAAGAGTGAAAAGAAACAGAATCATACCTTGTAACCCATTTTATCAATCATCTCCATCACTGCTTGGTATAAAGTAGGCCTAGCCTGACATAGCAACCAAATAGTTAGAATTCATGTGGCTATATTATATACAACCAGAATCTTTCTGGATTGAACAATTGATTTATGACACATCTTGGAAGAACAGGTAAAATAAGTTGCAAGTCTTGAGATACATGTGACAGTAAAATAGTGAAGTTCAATTCAACTGATAAAGAAGGCATACAATTGGAACGTTGCGAACTGCTGCCATTAGTAAGACGCTTGGCATCTCCACTGCAAATAAAAACGTCGCAGAACTTTAAAACTGTAAAATTCAAGAAACAAACTTATATGATTATAGGGTGTGAGAAAGACATACAAACAATTATAGGAAGAAGTAGACCGGTCTCGTCTTCCATCTTCAAAACAATAGCGGGGTGTGGTGAATAATCCGGAAGATGACTTCCCTGAGGATTGTTATGAACACATCTCAAGTGTCTTCCATCTCTCATTTTGATTATGAAACCATCTGCTCCACTTCTCACCTCAACTAGAAAACAAAATCACAAAACAATCAATTCTTGCACTAGCACTACACACATTTGGTTAACCAAAGATCGAAAAAACCATTCACAACTAAAAACATCTTTGCATCACATACAGATAACTCGAAAAAGACCATATCGATCACACTTACATTTACTTTTATTTCTATTAAGTTGCAGTAGCTAAACATACCAGCTTCAATCACACTTGAATTAACATAATCTTCATCATTTTCATCGAAACTATCCGCCATACTTCCACCACCATTCGACGACGAATCTAAACTACAACGCACTTTCGTCTCGCTCTTGCGTATTTTTACATGACATGAAAGAAAACCCCTCTTAAATTCCTTGAGTCCCCAAAACTCAGTTCTAACACATCTCACATTCATGGGCCCAATCATAGAAAGGCTGCAAAACCCTCCAACTTTAGGATGGACAGAGGGACACACAACTGGTCCTTGCAGAGAAACCATTCTCAAAAACCTACACACACCAAAAGAAAATAACCATATGTCCACATTATTCTCTTTGGAATAATAATAATAAATAAATAAAGTGAATTATGCAAAAACAACTCTGCAGAATTTATCATTGACACTTATATTAATAAAAAATTAAGTCAAACAAAAAATCAGATTAATCAAGTTTTTTTCTCAAACCCTAATTAAATTACATCGAGATGAATCAACGAAATACGATACAAAACTTGATTACAATATCATGATGCAAGATACGGTCACTAAACTCATAGATTAATACTAAATAATAATTTTTTGGTGCTAGATTAGTATAATCCTAATTAATTTTACGAACAAATACACGAAATTAGGAAAAATTAAATTAATAGCAACGATCGTTTTCGTTCATACCTTTTTTGGGGGATTATAAGAGTTATGATTATGAAGAAGAGGAGAGGAAAGTGTTAGGTTGAGGTGAAAGAAGGGAAAGAAGATAAGAGATTTTTTTTGAGAAATGAAAAACCGAAAAGGAAAGTGAGATGAACACAACACGTAACCGGAATCACCGCAGGAGAAGAAGCTTTGTGATGCTGACAATAATTGTGAATTGTGGGAGGATGATGACGCGTTTTATTTTTCTTACATTATTAAATTGAAATAAGACAACAATCAAAATAACTGGTATCAATAAAAACAAAAACAAACGCGAGTGTAATTAATACAAAATTTTGACTAGTATATTACATTTTGTTATATTATAAAAATAATTGATTAAATATTTTATCATGAAATAGATGTTAACGTAGATAAATGTATATTTGTGATTTTATCATGAAATTGATGTTAACGTAGATAAATGTATATTTGTGATAAAAAAAACATTCGAATTAATGTATATAATATTTACTCCTGTTTATTTTATAAGATATATGTTCAATTTTTGTAGATTTATTAAATAATTAATTTATTTAGTTTATAATACAAACTAAATATTTTATTTAATAAATTTAAAAAGGTAAGTATTTTTATAAAAAATATTGAAGAGAGTGTCAACTATTTATTTCATGAATTTTGAAAAATATTTACTTATATAATTTTTAAAGTCAAATTTGTTGAAAAATAATCACAAATGAATAATGTGGAGAAGTCTCACATTGATTAGAAATATTGAGACTTGAACACTTATAAATTGAAAAATTCGCATACCTATCCTCTTAAAATTTTAGATGAGTATATAATATGTCTCTAACAAATATGTGTTAAATATGTGTTGTTCATAAAAAAAATTCAAAATAAAAAATATTTTCTCTATTGAACCTCCTCCTGAATAGCCCTAACAAAACTAATATCAATAATTTCAATCTTTTTCTTGAAGTGATTCTTTAAATTGCATAGTATAATTGATTGAGTGAAAAGACAAAATAAAAAATATATAACTCCAACATGCTTAAATGACTGATATTGACTTTTATTAATAGTCATTGCTAAAGAAACAATCAATGGATATTATTTTTGCTAAATTTTGAAATGAATTCTTAAGTTAAATGATATTATGACAATGGAATATAAAAACCTTATCCTTGAAATTACTCCTTAAAATCATTTTTCCTTTTAACAACATATTTTCTCATCTTTATAATTATCACAATGCACATTCATGAAGACGGGTCTATATTTATTAATAATATTACTAGCACTTCAACTTTAAATTTTAACTTGTGGTTTGAAACTTTAGATGTAGTAATTGTGCTTAAAAATGGGGATTTATAATAATGCATGACTTCGAAGAGGGATCAGGTTGCCTGAACATTATATTTTTTGTAATATTTCATATCAGATGAATCTTATTGATCTTCCCCTCGTGAGATAGGTGTTTTACTTGATTTCAACCTAATAGAAAAGTTATTAGTCATCTTGATAGAATTTTGGTTGAAGTGGTTAAAGAGGAAAGGTTGTTAATGTTTGGTCGAAATTGGTTTGGTATTTCACCATACACTTTTAGAATCAGGTTCTTATAAGTCCATTTTTTAGTAATAAGGTATTTTATGTATTTTTTTTACTAGATGGTTATCACAATTTAAAAATTGTTATTAACATATAGTTTAATTTGTGTCAGAAAATTATATTGTGAATCAAGAGTACTCAATTTTTTTAAAGATTATGTAGTAAGTTATAACTTTTTAAATCACTCAAAAGTATAAATTTTATGTTTAATTATTTATACATATGTTATTCCAAAAAATTATTTATGGTTTTTTCACTTTTTTTTTAATACCATATGCTTTATAAGGATAAAAATGTAAATCATTGATAAAATATCTTCCCTCCTCTTGTGAATCAAACATATTTTTAATTAAAATCTATTTCTTCGCCTCCTCTTCCCTCCTCTTTATTAAAACTAAACATATATATAATTAAAAATATTCCCTCACATCCTCATTCCCTTTCTTTTATTAAAATCTCTCCCCTCCCCTCCTTCTCATTTGAATCAAACAGACCCTAAGAGATTGATTTGACTGTGGTTCAATATGAAGTGAATAAGATTTTGGGGCCTGATGTGGGGATCTTGTTTGATTACTATTTGTATTGGATTCCTTGACTCGTAGTTTCTCATCTTACTTTATCACTTTGATTTTGAAGATGGTTGTTTATATAATTTAGGTTATTCTCATCCTAATTTTTAGTCGGTTGTTTATATAAGTTTGTGGCGAAAGTATTGCATTTATACTGTCTTTAGAAATGGACAAACTGATCTTTCATAATCAATCAACTTTCATCAAAGTAAGATTTCGGGTAAATGGTGTGTTTTTTTCTCAACGAGTTAGTTGATCTAGTTGGAAAGTCTAAGAGGGTTTGTCTCATCTTCAAAGTTGTCTTTAAAAACACTTGCAATTCAGTTAGGGGAGTTTTCTTGACTATATTTTAGGGAGGTTTTGGTTCTTTAACAGAAGGTGTGCCAAGACGCATACTTGGTTGATCTAGCCAAATAGGATTCTGGTGGAAGTGGTTTGGGAAGTCATATCATTTCCTCCATTCGGATATTAATCTGATGGTGGTATAGTGTGAAGGGAATAGTTTGGAGACTTATGGGTTTAATTTATCCTTTATTAAGAAATTATGGAATTTACTTAAGAATTATGTGGGGATTTTTTGTCTTGGCTTTCTTACCTCATAATTTATCATCTTACTTTGTTACTTTGATCTAGAAGGTGGTTTCTCCCAACAATTTAGGTGATTTTTGTCATATTACTTTGTTTGGTTATTTATACAAGTTGGTAATGAAAGTGTTGGCATCTAGACAGTCTTTGGTAATAGAAAAACTAATATCTCATAATCAGTCGACTTTCATCAAAAGGAGACTTCGGGTAGATGGTGTGATTGTTCTTAACAAGTTGCTTGATCATTACTATAAAAAAATACTTTTTACCTCGGGCACGAAGGGGATTTTACCTTGGTTACACAAGCGATGTAACAAAGGGAGACATGAAAACTTTCCCTTTACCCCTCAGTTTTTGAATAACTAAGGCGATAGTTGAAATGACCATTGGTTCGATCCTCAACATTATTTTTTATTTTAAAAAATGTGTAGTGTGCACCACATACCTCTCAGTTTCTATTAATAACCGAGGGAAAATGTCAGTATTTATGTCAGTTTTATACAATAACAGAGGGGCATAACTTATTTTTTTATCAAGAATAATTTGTTTTAAATTTCAGTTTGACTGCCCTGTATTTTTTTTACACAGAAACTACAAATTTTGTAACAAAATCAAATCATTTTATTTTATACAGAACATAAACACAGAATACCAAACTTACAGTGTTTATAAAACCAAATGTATACATATCAAAAATGGTACACCAAGAGAACCTATACATATTTGAAAACAGAATTATATAATGCTTACAATACCTACAATGACATTTTAGATACATAAAACCTCTATCAAGAGAATCTATACATATTTAAACCTATAATGACAAAAATTTATACAATGCTTACAACAACCAAGAAAAACTAGTGGTGTTGAGATTCATAATAAGATAGAAAGGCACCAAACCAATGTGATCGGATGTCATGTATATCTTCTTTTGAGAATGGTGCTTCCTTTCTAAATGCATATAACTTGAGCAAAATTTAAATCATGATAAGCTAACAACAACAACAACAACATTAACTTAACATATATATATATATATATATATATATATATATATATATATATATATATATATATATATATATATATATATATATATATATATATATATATATATATATATATATATATATATATATATATATATATATATATATATATATATATATATATATATATATATATATATATATATATATATATATATATATATATATATATATATATATATATATATATATATATATATATATATATATATATATATATATATATATATATATATATATATATATATATATATATTTAATACTTTAACCCATGAATCCATAATGCCTCCGGAGACAATATCTACATATATCTCCTAACATAGTATCCACACAAAAAGTTACTAGGTTGTTTTCGTGACTACAAATGATTTTCATATAGTTACTAATTAATACATACAAATCACAAGTAATACAAGAAAATAAAGGAATGTCAAAAAGTATAAGTAATACTAATTTTTGGGAAATAGAACCTTAATTTTCTACCTTATAGATTACGTTTCACAAAATTGTATCCCTCCATAGCTCAACATGTCGGTATAAAAACTAATCAAAACTAAAGATAAAATTTGATTATTACAAATAATACCACTTACTCGCTCAAAATGTCATTCATCTTTTCAATAAGTTTATAGTGTAACGAGTATAACATAACTACAACATTTGATTTCGGACATATAATAACTAGTTTTCAATTCATATTGTATAAGCATTCAGAATAATTATTAGAATAATTAAAATGTGCATAAAATTGATTTATAAAAGGAAGAAACCAATTAATATATACTTACGCATGATAAAACGGTTT